AACCATTGTCACTTGTATTATCATCTGTATCCTCACCTGTTCCTTGAAGCCTCTTATTCATATCCACCATGAGGATAAGAACAAATATAAGAGGACACAGAATTTGTATTCTTTGTGCCCGAAGAAATGGATTTTGATCCATTAAAGGTCTTATTAAAATATTTTTAGTCTTTAAACTGCCATAATATTTTGTCTTTTTTCTGCCTTGTTTTCTTTTCCACCTTTAATTTTGCCATTACAAGACAGACTAACCTCTTTAAATGTTGTTCATTGCAAACACACATTATGGCAGAACGTGAAGATACTGGCAATAATGTAATTGCAATGTAGTCATGTGATATATAATGGCCATTGCCGCTGCGAGAAATTTTGTCAAATAAAGAATCAAAATTGTCAGTTTTAAATCTCTGAGATCCAATCATCATAAGAAAAGCAATCTGACTGTAGCTGTCACAAATAAATATAATTAGCTCAATGCAATTAGCTCAATGTCCTTGAACAAACCTGTCTATAAAACAATTCTTGGCAATTGTATGAAACTAGCCAAAGCTGATTTTGAAAAAAGGTATTTCATAAAGAGTTGGCAACCACCCACATGAGATTAAAAACTGCTACTGGCTTGATTATCTAGAAACTCCAGTCCATAAATGAAAACTCAATTGTCAGAAGCCTTTGAAGAAGGGTCTTTGAATTTGTGATAAATTTATCAAGAGGCAGTGGGCCAGTTTAATCGGAATGGTAACTGAAAGAGAAAGGGGAAACGTTAATTGGTGCTATCTGTATCAAGGCCATATCAGAAATGGCAAAATGTTTGGAACAGATAAAATAGATGGCAAATGACAAATGATAACTGCTGGCATGTCTATCAATGAATACTAAAATGAAATTTAGCAAGCAATTGGCATAAACTCAGATAAGCACTTGGGACTAGCAAATGATAAATTATTTGCACTCTTTTAAGTAAATGGAAAATAAACAGCCCAGAGAATACAACCTGTAAAGAAAAAAAAATACTTTGCAACTCTGTTGCCTGGGGGTACACCTGGACCCGACGCTCACCGTGGAAAGGCAGGAGGCGTCGGTTGTCAGCACCGCCTTTTTCCACCTTTGACGGATTGCCCGGCTGCGTCCTTACCTAGACATGAGGGTGCTCACTACCTTAGTACATGCGCTCGTAATCTCTAGATTAGACCACTGTAACACACTCTACATGGGGCTCCCTTTGAAGCTGACGCGGAAACTTCAGGTGGTGCAGAATGCGGCGGCCAGGCTCCTTACTGGAGTGAGAAAATACCAACATATCTCTCCTACTCTGGCCAGGCTGCACTGGCTGCCCATCCGTTTCCGCATTGACTTCAAAGTGTTAATGCTTACATATAAGGCCCTAAATGGTTTAGGACCTCGATACTTGGCGGAACGCCTGCTCCCACCTAGATCTACTCGGATCACCCACATGAGCCAGGAGGTGAGGCTGAAGAGCCTAACGCCGAGGGAGGCCCGGAAGGAAAGGACACGAAATTGGGCCTTCTTGGCGGTGGCTCCTTGCCTCTGGAATAACCTTCCTCTGGTGATTTGTGTGGCCCCTACGCTGGGCACTTTTAAGAGTCAACTAAAAACATGGTTATACGTTCAGGCCTTCCCTCCGGTCAATATTTAATTCTTTCTTTATTTTTTCTTTCATTCATTATTCGTTTTATTATTGTATGTGTTCAGATTGTTTGGATTATCCTTATGTTTTACTGCATACATGTTATTGGAAGCTGCCCAGAGTGGCTGACCAGACCAGATGGGCGGGATATAAATTAAATAAATAAATAAATAAAATAGTATAACTGTCTCTTGTTCCCATTGTTGTTCATCCAGAAACCTGAGAAAGCAAGCTTTGCTTTGATCATGTGATTACAATTTTTTTCCAGCATAAAACTCTCACGAAAACTGGGTACCCCCTCCCCCCATATTTTATAATATTCTCTGCAAGGATCTGATAACCAGCTTCACATTTCTTCTCCAAGCCACTGTTTTATAACAGAGGTCAGAATACAAATGTACCGATTTACCATTGTACAACAACATTTGGGAAAGTTCTTCTTCTTCTTTTTCCAAAAAACACAACCTTACTGACATTCTCACTTATCCCTAAATTCAGCAGCTTATGTTTAGAAAATGTCAGGCACAATAATTCTTCACCAAGTTTGTGCCTTGATATTGTGTTGGAATGTGAGCATGTTTGTGCCCTTGTGTTAAAAATATCTCTTAAATCTATTCATTCATTTGTTCGTTTGTTCGTTCGTTCACTTGTTCGTTCATTCGTTCATTCATTCATTCATTTGTTCGTTCGTTCGTTCGTTCGTTCATAGCCTTATATCACAGAATCTCAAGGCAGGTTACAGAGCTATATAAAACAATTTCAAAACATAAGATAATTAAAACCATTTAAAATCAAGCCATTTAAAACACAAAATCTAAATATTAATACATTAAAACCATTATACTAAAACTTTTACAGGCCACAATCCTCAACCCCCAAAGGCTCTAATAAATGAGTATGTCTTGACTTGGTGCTAAAATGATGCCAATGTCAGCACCAATTGAGCCTCCAAGGAGAGCGCATTCCCCTGTTGGGGTGCTATGGCAGAAAAAGGATGTTTATTGAGAAAATATCTTTTTCCCAATCACTTTTTTAAAAGCATTCCTTACATCTTTATTCCTTAAGCTGTAAATCAAAGAATTCAACATTGGTATTATCACCGTATAAAACACAGAGGCCATTTTGTCGGTGCTGAGTGAATAGCTGGAATTGGGCCTGAAATACATGAAGAGAATTGTCCCATGATATATGACCACTGCTGTGAGATGGGAGGCACATGTTGAGAATGCTTTCTGCCGCCCCCCAGTGGAGCGAATCCTTAGCACAGCTATAACGATGTATGTGTAAGATATGATAATAATCATTAGAGTGCTTGTTTCAAACAGACTGCCAAAAATGAATATCAGCATTTCATTTTTAGAAAATGTCAGGCACAATAATTCTTCACCAAGTTTGTGCCTTGATATTGTGTTGGAATGTGAGCATGTTTGTGCCCTTGTGTTAGCCCCCTTATGTTAAAAATATCTCTTAAAACTATTCATTCATTCATTCGTTCGTTCGTTCGTTCGTTCATAGCCTGTCATATCACAGAATCTCAAGGCAGGTTACAGAGCTATATAAAACAATTTCAAAACATAAGATAATTAAAACCATTTCAATTTAAAACACAAAATCTAAATAGTAATACATTAAAACCATTATACTAAAACTTTTACAGGCCACAATCCTCAACCCCCAAAGGCTCTAATAAATGAGTATGTCTTGACTTGGTGCTAAAATGATGCCAATGTCAGCACCAATTGAGCCTCCAAGGAGAGCGCATTCCCCTGTTGGGGTGCTATGGCAGAAAAAGGATGTTTATTGAGAAAATATCTTTTTCCCAATCACTTTTTTAAAAGCATTCCTTACATCTTTATTCCTTAAGCTGTAAATCAAAGAATTCAGCATTGGTATTATCACCGTATAAAACACAGAGGCCATTTTGTCGGTGCTGAGTGAATAGCTGGAATTGGGCCTGAAATACATGAAGAGAATTGTCCCATGATATATGACCACTGCTGTGAGATGGGAGGCACATGTTGAGAATGCTTTCTGCCGCCCCCCAGTGGAGCGAATCCTTAGCACAGCTATAACGATGTATGTGTAAGATATGATAATAATCATTAGAGTGCTTGTTTCAAACAGACTGCCAAAAATGAATATCAGCATTTCATTTATGAAGACACCATTGCAAGCCAATTTCAGAAGGGGTGTGAGATCACAGAAGAAATGATTGATAACATTAGAGGTGTAAAAGGATAATCTTAACAATCCACATGTGTGAATCATAGAGTTCACAATGCCCCATAGGTAGGATCCTACAATCAAAGTGGCACAAAGCCTCTTAGTCATAATAGATTTGTACAGCAGAGGGTTGCAGATGGCCAGGTACCGATCATAGGCCATGGCCGCCAAGAGAAAAAACTCAGTGGTTGCAAAAATGGCAAAGAAAAAATATTGTGCAATGCAGGCTACATAAGAGATTGTTTTCTCGCCTACTAAAAAGTTCACCAGCATATTTGGCGTGATGGTGGTGGAATAGCAGACATCCAAGAAAGACAGGCTGCTGAGGAAGAAATACATGGGTGTGTGGAGCTGAGGATCCATCCAAATTAATACTATTAACCCAAGGTTCCCCATCAGAGTGGCAACATAGATGCCCAAAAACAACACAAAGAGAGGAGGCCGTATCTCCAAGTGTACTGTTAGGCCAAGGAGAATGAAGTTGGTCACCTCTGTACAATTTTCTCTATCCATTAATTTCCTTCGGTTTTACCTGTAGGGAAAAGAAGGGAAACATTATTTTAAATATCTATCTTTTCCATCATTCTTTTTCTAAGTGAGAGAGGGCTATTGTGGGTATAGTGTATCGGGCACTTTAAAAGAGGTTTCTGACAGCTGTAGGTGGACCTTGTAATGAGGTGATGCCTAAAGGCCCATAACTCTGGGAGGCAGAGTTATGGGTATTTATTGAATGTGTGTCATGTCATCTTTGAAATAAATAACCGTATGTTGAAGCAGTTGTCATGGATTTCTGACAGCTGTTGGTGGACCTTGTAATGAGGTGATGCCTAAAGGGTTTGATTGGGGGGCAGAGTTACGGGTATTTATTGAATGTGTGTCTTGTGTATATCATGTCATCTTTGGAATAAATAACCGTATGTTGAAACAGTTGTCGTGTCCCCATAACTCTGGGAGGCAGAGTTATGGGTATTTATTGAATGTGTGTCATGTCATCTTTGAAATAAATAACCGTATGTTGAAGCAGTTGTCATGTCTGGACCCACAACATACAGTAGTGGGATTCTTTTGTTATCTCCTTTATGTGTATAAATTACTGGAAGGAATATTTTAAGAAACAGATTTGTGCATCATCATACAGTAGTGAGATTCTTTTGTTATCTCCTTTATGTGTAGAAATTACTGGAAATAATATTTTAAGAAACAGATTTGTGCATCATTGCATCCATTCACCTGTCTAGCTTTTACATTTCATAACATAAGCTTATCATGATGGGACACCTGCAGACTTGTCCCCGTATGTAATTTTCTAAGTGCTGTTTTTCTTTGTTTTCTGTTAATTTGTGAGATTCTTTTGTTATCTCCTTTATGTGTAGAAATTACTGGAAATAATATTTTAAGAAACAGATTTGTGCATCATTGCATCCATTCACCTGTCTAGCTTTTACATTTCATAACATAAGCTTATCATGATGGGACACCTGCAGACTTGTCCCCGTATGTAATTTTCTAAGTGCTGTTTTTCTTTGTTTTCTGTTAATTTTACCAAAGTATTATGATGCAAAATTGTGTCTGGAAAGTTGAAATGATCATCCAGTGAATCTTACAGCAACTGCCAAAGGACAAGGAAAGGTCTCCATGCACTGAGGTTATCTGAAGCAACTGAATGGGCCATGTAGTCTCTCCAGTGATGACTGCTGAATACGTGGAGGCAATCCAGATCTATTTGAACCCCATTGTATGATGACTGCAAGAGTTGCTGCACTTTGAGGACTTCAAATCTGTAGTTTTCCCCTCTAATTAAAAGCCCCAATTCAGCAGTGCCCCCCCTGAACGATGCTGTACAGGTCTTAGGAAAGAAAGATTTATTAAATGTAAGATTTAAGATAGTTATAGTTCTATGGAAATTTTAAAGTTACAGAGACTTTCTTCATTTTTTAATGTTGATGCGTGAAAATGAAACCAAAGTTGCAGCACTAAAGGAGTGGAATGCTGGAGAGACTGGGGACAAAGCTATCTCTAAAAAGTGGTTGACCCCTGTCTTAAGAGGAGATCCTCTACTTACAGCTCTAACCAGCTTGGAACAGAAGGCCTTGTCCTGCAATTCAAGCCTTGCAGGGACATTGTATGATGACTGCAAGAGTTGCTGCACTTTGAGGACTTCAAATCTGTAGTTTTCCCCTCTAATTAAAAGCCCCAATTCAGCAGTGCCCCCCCTGAACGATGCTGTACAGGTCTTAGGAAAGAAAGATTTATTAAATGTAAGATTTAAGATAGTTATAGTTCTATGGGAATTTTAAAGTTACAGAGATGTTCTTCGTTTTTTACGTTGATGCGTGAAAATGAAACCAAAGTTGCAGCACTAAAGGAGTGGAATGCTGGAGAGACTGGGGACAAAGCTATCTCTAAAAAGTGGTTGACCCCTGTCTTAAGAGGAGATCCTCTACTTACAGCTCTAACCAGCTTGGAACAGAAGGCCTTGTCCTGCAATTCAAGCCTTGCAGGGAAGTGAGGGAGGATTTTCAAAGAGAGGGAAATAAAAAAAGGACATTTTTCCTCTGTCCTCTGCTTTATGTCTTCCCCTCCCCCAAACTGTCTTGCAGAACTCCAGGGCAGTGGTTCACAGATGTGGTTGACCTGAAGCTCCCTGAAGCTCCAGTCAGCATGGTCTGGAAATGGTAGTCCAATGATATCTGGGGATTCAAACTTTGAGAAAATTCTGCTCGGGCGATGGGGGAAGCTCAGTTTTGCGACTACCTGCCTGTTCTGAACATGAGGTGTATAGAACAGTGGGGGATGTGGTCTGGAAGAGGGGAAAGGAAACAGTGCCCTTCAAGTTTCCATGAGGAAAAACTCCCTATATTTATAAATTTCCAGTTTTGAGAGAGGGCCAAGTCCTGCTTAGATGGTTCTTTTTGTTTTCCCCAGCCATGTCACTCATACAGTATTCCTCCCTTCTAGTTCCAGTCCTGAGGCTGCCTCTGCAATATGAAGTACCTCAAAGGCTCACCTATATGAGCAGCTAATCTTTTCCCCTTCTCTTCCTATCTCCTCAACTGAATTTCAATTTTAATCATGGATGTTCACAGGCTTTTGCCAGACCATTTGGGGGCTTCCTTTTTTAAAAAAGTAGCAACATCATATTCCGCTGCTTACACTAAGTATGGAGAATCTGCTGTCTTTTTTTAAGCAGCTATGTTTTCCTTCTATACCAATGAGCACTTGATAGTTGCTATTATCGTACTTTACCTAAGCATCTAATTAAGTAGACATTTGATATAGCTGAATTATTATATGTTTCTCAGTATGTTCTCTTATATCTGGATAGCTCAGTGGTTTAGGTCTCTGGCTGCAGAGCCAAAGGTTGGGAGTTCAGTTCCCCACTGTGCCTCCTTGACTGGGGATGGATGCAATGATCCATAAGGTTCCTTCCAGCTCTGCAGCTGAAAGATGATAATGATGATGATTGAAGTCAGTTGACAATCCTTTGAAGTAGAATGGAAAGAGTGGGCAGGAAAAAGGGTTGTTTAACCTCTTCATTGAAGGTGGCCATGTCCACCTTTAGGGACGACGGTCCTCAATCGGAAGAGCTGTCCACCTTTTTGGTGATATGTAGGTGGCCATTATATGCCCCCTCCCAAAGTGAGTTTCCCTGGTGTGCCAGGGAAAGCAGAGGCTTTGATTGGTAAATGTATCTAATCAGGCCTCTCTCCCCCCCGCCTTTTTTGTATTTGCAAAATATGCAATCTGCACTAAGTGATGCATATAGCTACTGATGCATGGCAGAAAGGATATGGCATGACATGTCAGTTCTGTATGAATTTCAGATGTGAGGTCAGTCCCAGGAATGTACATTGTGAAAGCAATATTCAGACCATTCCTCTGGTATAACTGATTGTTGCCTTGCTAGGTATTTCAACAAAACTCTAGCGACTTCTGTTTATTTTCTTTTTATATATATCCATTGTCAGAAAGCTGCAGAATATACAAGGAACAGGGCATTTCAGAGAGTTACCAAACACTATGCCTTATTTATTTTATCTGGCTGAATATATCAGTGGTTTAGGTATCTGGTCGTGAAGCCAGAGTTTGGGAGTTTGATTCCCTACTTTGCCACCAGCAAGTAGAACCAACCTGTGTGGCCTTGGGCAAGCTGAACAATTCCAGGGCACCCCCAGGAAGGAGGGAATGCAAACCACTTCTGATGATTTTCTACCTGAAAGACCCTGACTTGACAACACATGGTTATTATCTATTATTATGCCTTGTTCATTGATTTGATTTATACCCATCTTTCTTTCAGTGCTGCATTTCAAGCTGGTTACCTAGTCACAATCTTCTGTGATATGATGAGTCACAGTTTATTTCTTCTTAATTTCCAGCAATAAGGTCTAATTATGATATTTGCACATATTAGTTCATTACAAATTTGATGCAAAACATCCTCCAATTTTTTTGTGAAGAATGTCCCCTTGTTTTCCATGTCTGGTACAAATTTGATGAAAAACATCCTCCAATTTTTGTGTGTGTGAAGAATGTCCCCTTGTTTTCCATGTCCTCCCTTTTGGTGATGAAGCAGTGGTCACCCAACCTTCATTCTTACTTATTTCCTAACCCAAATGTTCTCTGGGCTGTGTTTCTCCCAGCAAAATTAAATGCAGAGTTGTTGCAAATCACTGTAAGTTACAGTCTTACTGAAAGGTAAACTGTATGTTATCACATAAGAGTTGCAAGTATTTGTCTGATCCTGTCTGATTACATAATCATAGCTATTGCAAATTTAGGATAGCTCCTAATATACAGGAGCAAATGGTGCTATGGCAGTGGCAACACTGAGTGGATATGAATCTGACCACTGAATGAACAAGAAATGCCTAGGAGACTTTTCTAAATCATTTCAGGATCTGAAGAGTAGCCTAAAGATCATAAACAGATAGTCATAAGGACCCTGAGTCCCTTTGGCCTTCTCTGCAAACCTGGGTGAAACGTCCTTCCAGCTTGCCTGCTGCAAGGTCAGGAAGAAGCAGGAGCCAGGATACCTTCAGGCAATGATATTTTCCCATTGGGAACAACAGAAACCATGTGTACAGTTTTCAGTAGCTTTTACTTGCTGTCCAGACTCACAACAAAAGCAAAATAAAAAGAGTAACAAAATATTGTGGCTCCATAAAGTCTAACAGATTGATTTGAAAGAAGTAGCTGTGTTAGTCTGCAGAGATGTATCGGGCAAAAATGAAATAGTGTAAACAAAAAACTAGAAAACAAAGCCTTAACGACTGTTATACAGTATTTTAATTTGTAACTCACAAATCTCACACCAAAATATCTCTCTCTCTCTCTCTCTCTCTCTCTCTCTCTCTCTCTCTCTCTCTCTCTCTCTCTCTCTCTCTCTCTCTCTCTCTCTCTCTCTCTCTCTCTCTCTGTGTGTGTGTGTGTGTGTGTGAGAGAGAGAGAGAGAGAGAGAGTCAATCGTACTAGCACTTTAGGAAACTATCTAAAGGTGTGATCAGACACCAATATGGCTCACATTTTGGACCACTTGTGACATACTCCAGTGCAAGCTATTTTCCAATGATCAGATGATGTTCTGGAGATTGTGAACTGATGGATAGCTCAGTGGTTTTGTGTCAGAGGTTGGGAGTTCAATTGCCCACTGTGCCTCCTTGACAAGGGCTGGACCCAATGGTATTATATTATTTCATCCTGGGGGGGAAATTGCCAGTCCAACCCTGCTCTGTGCCCAAGCTGGACCATTTTGGTCCTGTAGCGGGGCTACTTTTTTGGAGCTGTGCTGGAGAGGTTCCTGTATGCATAAAACTTTTGGTTGAAGAAAGATCATTTCCAGCAAAGCGAACCTTTCCAGTGCAGTCAGATTTTATCTGTTATCAACATCTGATCACACTCGAAGCTAGATAAGAAAAAGAGAAAGTTCTAGAACCTGGATCCTAACCAGCCATGAAGCGAGTTTCTCACTTCATCCTACCTATGGTATGTGGTGGCTAAAATCTGAGCCTTCTGTAATGACTCCATAGTTAGAGAGCCCACGGTTTACTGAGGGTTTTTGGCTATCACTTACTTTCTCCTTTAGCTCCAGCAGTTCAGTCCTTTTTATTTCCATTTTCTCAATTTAAATTATTGGGCATATTGCTTAAAATCCCCAGACCAGTTCTAGGGTGGATCATGATGAAAATCACTCTCACAAACAGAAAAAGGGAAGCTGTTACTATAAAATGTCAAAGTTTCTTAAAAAGAACTATCATACATATTAATCTTCTGCCTTGGTGGAGGGGGGGAGGTATCAAAGAAAGCAAAGTCCTTAGAGTTCAGGCTATGCAGGGAACTCATTGATACTTCTCAAAGAGATGATGAATAAAGAGAGAACATGAGTGGTCCATCGGTCCAGATAGGCGGGGTATAAATCAAATAAATCAAATAAATCAATTAAATAAAAATAAATAAATAAATAAATAAATAAATAAATAACATTCAACTGTTCACTTCATCCTCATGTTTGCTTACATAAGCTGTGTTTTACCTAACCCTGCAGAGACCCAACCCCTTGATTAAAGGTACTGATGACATGAAACCTACCTTGAGAAAGAACAGGACACCTTAGACAACTTCACTGTTCAGCCACAAAATGAAGGCAGAGTTTTCTGAGATGCACAGAGATTTGAAGCAAATTGTATGAATTGTTCAAAAAAAAATTCAAAGGCATTGCAATTAAAGTTGCTCTCAGAAGTATCATTTAAGGAAGGATAATTAATCTCCAAGTGATTCTGACCAATTTATTTAAACCTATTGTTTTCATGTGTCATCAAGTCACTTTTGACTTATGTTGAACCTATGAATTAATGACTTCCCAGAGGTTCCAGCAGTCTCAGTCCCTCACGGGTCTCTCAAACTGAATTTTTTAAATTTTCTTTATTAAGTCAATCCATTTTATGTTAGGTTTTCCTTTTTTCCTACCACTTCTAGCTTTCCCCAAAATCATTGTCCTTTCCAGTGAATGTTGTCTTCTTACAAGAGGTCCAATGTGTGATAGCTTCAGTTTAATTATTTTAGCTTCCAGTGGAAGTTAAAGCTAGAATCCATTTATTGGTCTTTCTGGTGGTTCATCATACATCCCTAGATCTCCCTTCCAGCTCCATATCTTTCTAATAGTGCATGGGATCTATATTCCTGTCCTCTAGTTTCACATTACAAATGAACCATTTTCTCCTGGTCAATTTTCTTCATAATCCAGCTTTCACATTTGTACATAGCAATCATGAATATCAGGCTATGAATGATTTTGGTCCAATGACATATCTTTCACCTTAACAATCTTTTCTAGTTCCTTCATAGCTGACCTTCCAAGTCTCTGTCTTCTTCTGGTTTCTTGGCTTCCTTTTCTATTTTGATTGATGATTGATGGTAACAGTCAACATTACAGTTATGTACTGTAATTATTCTGTAGTCATGTCTCTTGTCTTTTTAATGTTCAACTGCAATCTTGCTTTTACACATTCTTCTTTAATGTGTAAAACACCTATCACAATGCTTGTTTCAAGTCATAGCTGTTTTCATACAGTATCATCATGATATCTTAAATTACTGGAGTCTCTTCCACTGATTTTTCACTCCTTTGGCTGTATTTAGTCCAGCTTTCCATATGCTATGTTTAGCATATAAACGGAACAATTGGTGGGGTAAAATACATCCTAGTCAGACACCTTTGCCAATAGGAAACCATTCTGTTTCTCTATATTCTTTCCAGGCAGTAGCCCTGGGTATAGAATATACAACAAGATAATCAAATGTTGTGGTATCACATGTTTTTATGACAATCCACACATGTTTTTTATGACTGACAAGTCAAAGACATAACTATAACCTATAAAGGACAATGTGATGTTCTTATGAAATTCTTTGGTATGCTCATGTAGCTAATATAAATTTGCTGTGTGATCTGTAGTGACTGTTCTGTTTCTGAATCCACTGGAATAGCGGACATTTCTCATTATATGGCAAATTTATTTGTTGCAAAATCTTAACCTCTCCTTATTGAACTTATTTTAGATCCACCCACCCACCCGTCAAAGCCTCCCCATCCAAAAGTTTAAAATGGTATTTAGTCTTGAATAGAAATGTATTTTCATTTGCCTATGCTATATCTATTCATTTTGGAGTTTCATAAAATTATCATTTCATCGAATTGTCTTTTAGAAAAACATCATAAGAAGTAGCTTTAAAAGATATATTTCTGAAGAAAACCACTTCATGCTCAATTAGTTATGATAACTTATTTATTTATTTTAATAGCTGCACATCTGATGAATATCAGTCATGCCAAAGCAGTGTTACACTTGTGCTGTGAGAAGATTGTGCCAATGAGACCCGTACTGACTTATTTCAGAACCAAGATTAAAATACTAAATTATTTTATATTGTTTTTATACTTGTACTCTTCCCTGAGACAGAAGACAAATGTCAAACAAACAAGCAAACAAATAGAATAAAATTAAGTGTCGCTCCTAAAGCCAACATTTATCTCATCCAGAAACTTACATTAAAATGTCAAGTATTTCAGTTCTCACATATCATATGTATGTGTTGCCCTAGGTATGTGTTTGATTACTTGCCTGTAGGACTGAACCTAGAGACAGAGATGTGCACACAAGACCTTGTGAGGACATTTGGATGGCTCTGGTTACATTGTTACATTCACATGTTGAACACAAATGCATGTATAGGGCTCCGTAGCTGCATTACACTGAACAATGTTATATCACTTCCATGATTGAAAAAAAAAAAAAACTGATGAGGGTCTCTGCCCCATCAGTATTTTACAGTCATGGAAGCACTTTGACATTCTTCAGTGTAATGCAGCTACAGAGCCCTATACATGCATTTGTGTTCAACATCTGGAAGTCTAGGTTGTTTGGCAACATTTGGGGGTTGGGTTACATGAATACTCATATATCTTGCCTGCTTAGGGCTTCCATCTCTATCTTTTGTCTTTCATTTATTCTGTGCATTTTCCCCACCAGGAGTAGGGCTGGCCTAAGAGATTTTACTGCATGAGACAAAATACTATGTCGTTTCCCCTGCCTCTTTATTCTACTTATGAAGGTAAACTGGACTGGAATATGAATCTCATCTGCATGTTAACTATTTCTGCTTCTGTTGTATGATGATACGAAGGTTTCAAATACATGAACATTGGTGGTGCTTTCTCATCCCCTTCAGATATTGTAGCAGTAGGAAAGAGGGGTGGCATTGGGTCCAATTGGGTGGGAAGAACAAGGCATTAGCGTGCATTTGCTAGACATTAGTGTGTATTCACATAAAGTCAGCGCAACAATAGGATTTTGGCTGGGTATATTTGTCATGCCTGCTCTTCCTAGCTCATTCAGCTCTTATCCATCCTAGCAGTACTGTACAAGCACACCTTGTCAGATGATAGACAAGAGTTGGTATTTTCTTCCCTGCCACCAAGGGAGACTGAGGGTTTTTTTGTATCTTATACCAGGTCTGAGGGATATTAGATGTGTGGTGTGGCTACGTAACCATTAAAGCAGGGGTCTCAAACATGCGGCCCGGGGGCTATTTGTGGCCTGCCAGATGATAGTTTGTGGCCCTCGCCTTGCCTGCCCCCCCAAAGCGCCCACACATCCTCTGCTGTCAAGAGTCAAAAAAAGCCTTGCCTCGCTTGCTGGCTCTCTCCCAAGACAGTGCCTCTTGCACCCTTCATCTGGAACTGCAGCCTGCCAGGCAGCCCGCCTGTCTGCCGGCTGGCAGGCTGCAGTTCCAGATGGAGAGTGCAAGAGGCGCTGTCTTGGGGGAGAGCCAGCAAGTGAGGCGCGCTGCCAGTCTTTTCTCCCAAGCCGCCGCCACGCAGTGCCTGAGAGCGGCGCTTGCTCCCAGGCTGTCCTCAAAGAGCGCCTCCAAGCCGCCAACAGCAGGTGCTGTCGCCACCGCCTCTTCCAGGGAAGCGGCTCTCTGGCTCTCTTTCTCTCTTGGCACCCCCAGCACCAGCCCGGCCAGCGCCTGCCTCAGCCCCCGGGGGTGCTTCCTCCTCCTCCTCTTCATCCTGCTTCAGCCACCTCAGCTCTGGAGGCTGCCTGGGCTCACCTTGCAAAGTTTGCTCCCCTGTCGTGGTGAGGGTAGCTGCTGCTGCTGAGTGCGCCTTTTTTGAGGGGGCCCCTCAGAGGAAGATTGCCAGACCTCCATTTGAGTGTGTGTTCGTGCGTGTGTGCTCATGCGCACACACTTGTGGGGGGGCATCCCGTTGTGTTTAATTTCACAGATATTGATGGGGTTTTTTTCTCCTTTGGCACTAACCTGCATCACACATGTTGTAAGGCTTGGGGAAAGCTGGGATTTGAAAAGTCTTCCATCTGCTGATAAGGTATGCTCAGAGTGGGTTGAGGCAGTTCAACTGTTCCTCAGACTCATGCCAATATCATTCTTAAATAGGTGACAGTAAAAGTTAGTTTTCTGCCTTCTGCTAAACTGAAGGGTCACAAACCTAGTTCTATCTGAAGGATGTTTCCTTTATAAAATATTAAATATTACATTAAAAATTAATTAACTACAGTATTTCTTTTTTTTCCTCCCTGTCAATGCCTCCCTTTTGGAGCTGAGTATCAGAGACGGTACATCCTTCTTGTTTTTTGCCCACTATGATTTTGTAAACATCTTCTTTCAGCCTTGGGAGGTACAGGAAGACTAAACCGCTCCTCCAGTTTCTTAAACAGAGTAGGTTTAGCCTCTCTCCCATGATAATGGAAACGAGTGGTTCTGTGCAGAAGTCTCTTACTTGTCTAGGAATCACAATAGTATTTTCACGTTCCTTGGTTTACATATGTATTTTCAGGACAGACAAAAGGAAGTAGTGTTTCACACAACACATTGCTCATCTGTGTTTCACAACTACATGAAGTAGTGATTGTTCTGTGACAGATATCTATTTTTCTGGGAGTCACTCTGCTTTCTTTTGAGTGACGGAAGTAACCCTTCTTGGAATGAACTATAACTGTGGCATGCATGAGGGCCAGGTCTTGTTTGTTTGTTTTTCCTACTCTCTTTGTTCTAACAAGGACCTTCATATTTCATTCCTCATCCTGAGTATTTAGAAGTGGCATCAGTTAATGGAAGAAAACAAAAGAACATCCATAGGTAAGAGTGAGTGCCAACAGTTACTCTGAATTGAAGTAAACTGTGTGGGAGCAATTTGGTTTCTACTCGTTATCACCAACCTGTTCCACTCCATATGCTTTGGACATCAGCTTCTATAAGCCCCAGCCAGCATGACCAAGCGTCAGGATTGTAGGAAGCTATTGTTCAAAATACTCAGAGGGCACCAAGTTGAGAAAAGCTTTTGAGTGCTACCAGTGAATCTGAGAAGAAGAACACAAATGAAAATGAAATTAAAGTTGTCTTTTTATTTCATACAAATCTGCCTCCAGCACATGATAATTGACTAAGACAGACACCATTGAGTGCAAAAAATGAATGGGCTTTCTTTCCATCACTTGACCCATTTCCTGCTGTTTTTCTAGTAACAAACTAAGAAGCTTAGATTGTACTGCCAAACAAAACAAAACATGCAAAACACAATTCTCCACTGCTGTGCATACTGAGCTACATTGATAAGCCTATTAATAGCTTGCCTGAACTCTGTGAGAAAGTACTTTTTCAGTTCACATACTGGAAAGTTTTGTCCCATGAATTTTGCTGCCCTGGCCCTTGATGGAGGAAAATAAGATGTTGTTGTTGTTCTTACTTCCATTATCAGTAAACCATGTTAGACAAAAAACAAAACACTTGACTTAACTTTTCAAGGTTGCTTTTTTGGTGGTTATTAGTCTCCACCCCAGGAGACACAAATAACTTTTTAATTATCTCAACAGTTCCTAACATGAAAGCCAGAGTTGAGTTTCTTTCATTTTACAAATGACATTATGCTGGATGTAATCAGCATTCTCTCACATATCATCATGAACAGAGAACAGTAGCCATCCTTCTTACTACATAGGTAGGACGGTTTTTTTCAATATAAAAGAAAAAGAGAGGGAGGATATTTATTTGTTCAGAAATAAGAAGTTTGTCTAATTTTTTGTCACAGTTTGGGAGGGAATGAACTTGAGGAAAATGTCTTGCATTTTCATTTGAAATCTTTATTATGACATTTTTGCATTTTAATATGTGTTTTTTGGAATTTCCAGCTCACCAAGACTAGTCACTCCATCAGCTAAACAATTTATTTTGTTGATTAGGTAGGGAGAGCAATTTTTAATTATTGAGGACCAAATTTAGTGAATATTACTTTAAAATTGTTTATTAGGTTTTTAAAACTATGTATATATTTTAAACCATAAAAAGCAATGTTATGTGTGTGTGGTTTTTTTCAAAAAAACTTCCATTATTTTTCACTTTTTGAACAAATGACTCCAGGAAAGCTTATTTCTAAATAAGTGAGCCTAGGACTGCAACCTACATACCACAAAGCAATTAGCACATTAAAAGACAGATTCTGAATTAACTAAAAATGATTGAATCAGTGTGTTCTTTCACATTTAAATTGTGGTCACCTTCCTTGGGGAAAGAAAAAATTTTCTGAGTTACAAAATGTGTAAGGATTTAAAGATCATTGGGGCAATCATCTCTAACTGAGTTATAAAATGTGTAAGGATTTAAAGATCATTGGGGCAATCATTACTTATTATAATCATTGACACCCATCCCCTTATTGCTATACTTTGTGATGTTATGCTTTTTGTCTTTCACAAAAATTCTCTTAACAATCCATTATGATGTAAGGAGTAACTCAATATTTTTCAAAATACAGTCGTTTTAATTTGCACAGTGCTTTTCAGTCCTAATTTGACCCCATAGTGGTTCTACGGGATAGATAACTGTTACTCCCATTTTTCAGACTGGGAAATGAAGCTGAGATAGGGTCTTGTCCAGACCTTGAAAAAAGCTGGGTTTTGTTTTGTTTTGTTTTGTTTTTTTGAATGATAGCCCCCAGATCTCCATAGCAGATAGAGCTAAGCTGTCTCTTGGAGATGAAATATAAATTTTCAAAAGCCTCAAATCCATTTGATTTACTGAGCCTGGAATTAATTCTCAGTTTCACATGGGGCCAAGTAACCCTTTTTTTCTACATAAAAAGAGTTGAAAGGTGAGGAAAGGTGGCCACTTCAGTCTCTTCTCAGTGCATGCTTCTATGTGGAACAAGAAGGCTATTAGCAGACTGTGATCAAGATACAGCAGGATGCTTCCTGTCTGCGATGGCCTTCTCTGCTCATTAGAGAACAGCTGGAAATGGCAAGTGAAAACCTGCTGCTTTAGTGGTGATTCAGGGTGGGGAGTTTAATCGGGTAAAAATAAGTCCTGTTTTTTAGAAAATATACAAGTCAACTTACAGGGAATCAATGCAGTACACGATAAAGTAAAAATAAGAACCAAAGGACAAATCAGGCATTTCCCAATCCTTGCCCTTCATCTGAATCTTCACTAGGACTTTGAGAGACCACAGAGAAACTCCTGACAGGGCTGGTGATCAGCTTTTCAGAACTGGGTGCTGCGGAGACAACAGGTCAACTCTGACAGCTGCTTGATACAGGCTGTGCAGCCCTCCTGATCTGTGTTGTATAGCGACTGTAATACCACTCACTCACAGATGGATTCACGATTGTGGGGTTGCACTACAGAAGCACAAAAAGCACACCCTTAGTGTTTATCTTCTCATGACTAATCACAATGATATACTTAATTAATTATACTGTTTACTTTGGATATTGGGCTTTTCATAATTACGGCATTGTCTGTACTCTAAGATGCTCCATCTCTCTCTCTCTAAGGACCCCCATCTTTCTCTTGTTTCCATGTTTCTAAAAGTATTTCTGACTTGTTTTATATCAATAAATATCAGGGGCATTGCAATGCCTTAAAATCTAAAACAATTCAGTTGTTTTGAGCGAATCAGAACATTCCAAACACCATTTTAAATAGTTTACCATTTTTTTTCAAAACAGAAACCAGGAAAATGAAAGATTAGAGACCAAGTCATGATCCCAATAGGTGCCAAGTGTTTGGGTGAATGGTCATGTTCAAACCTTTTTCCAAAATGAAGACATTTTTGGTGCCATTTGGGTCTGCAAGGCGAGAGCATTTCACAGGCCATTTTTGGGGCAACAGTGTTTTTTCTTCTTCATGATTTTGCATTGCTACAGGTTCCCAGTCTGTAGTGAAATAATGCCCCCTCCCTAAATTTTGTAAATGAAATATGAATATTCTATGCTTACAAAAACAGGAATGCTGGAGAAAACTCTTATTTGGATAATATGAACTACAGAAATTATGTTAATAAGGACATTGACTCTCTGTTTCAGAAAAAAGAAGAAGTAAAACAGCATCTAAATCATCATCCTTGCCATCTCCCTATTTCACTTGCTCCCATACACCATTTCCACCCTGGTTATCATAAATTCAAGATAAACCACTATGAAACCAGAAGGAACAGCCAAGGGGAATCATACGACAGTGACAGAATTCATCCTCTTTGGACTCACAGGCCACCCAAAGATACAGGTAGTGCTCTTTGTGCTTTTCCTAGCCATCTATCTGGCCACTCTAGTGGGGAACAGCAGTATCATCTTGCTAATCTGGATTAGTTCCTCTTTGCACAGACCTATGTACTTTTTCATCAACAATTTGGCTTTCCTAGATCTCAGTTATTCCACTGCCATTACGCCCAAGATGCTGATCAATTTCTTAATGGGAAAGAAAACCATTTCCTTTGCGGGATGCATGGCACAAATGTATCTGTTTGCTTCCTTTGCAGATGCAGAGTGCCTCCTGCTGGCTGCCATGGCGTATGACCGCTACATGGCCATTTGTAATCCACTGCTCTATCCTGTTCTCATGTCCCGCAAGTTTTGTGTTTGGCTGGTAGCTGGCTCTTACCTCACGGGCAGTTTGAGCTCACTGACGCACACTTATTTTACATTCCACCTTTCCTTCTGCAATTCCAACATCATCAATCATTTCTTCTGTGACATCCCACCACTGTTAGCCCTCTCCTGCTCTGACACTCACATCAACGAGACCCTCCTCTTTGCCCTCTGTGGTTTCATCCAAACTAGCACTTTTGTGTTCATCCTGATCTCTTATGCCTGTATCCTGTGCGCTGTCCTGAAGATCCCCTCTGCAGAAGGCCGCCACAAAGCTTTTTCGACTTGTTCCTCCCACTTGATTGCTGTTGTCTTATATTATGGTGCTCTGCTCTTCACTTATTTACGGCCAAGCTCCAGCTATGTTCTGGACACAGACAAAATTATCTCTGTGTTTTATACTGTAGTTTTCCCCATGTTGAATCCTTTGGTCTACAGCTTAAGAAATGAAGACGTGAAGGACTCTCTTAGCAAACTGTTACAAAGAAAAATGATGGTGCTTCCAAAGATCAAGAGTTGCTCTTAGCCCAACAGATAGCAAAAGCTCAGTTTCATCTTTGGCTGCACAATGCTGATTACAAGGATGGACATGAAGCTATGGATCCATGATCTTAAAAATGTATCAGTGGCTTACATGCCACACTTTTTATTTTAACAATTATATCACATTGATTCAGTTTAATTTCTTCAACCTTTTGCTCCACTAGGCAGGAACTACACTTTCCCCCGAATCAGCAGCAAAGCTTTTTACTCCATATTATCTGCAAGCAGGCACAAATATATTGCAACAAATGTCTTTTTCTAATGTGATTCCTTGCATTAACACAGGATGTGTGGTTGCCAGCCAGCCAGTGCTGGGAGACTTTCTGGCTACCGGCAGTGATGAGTCAGCCGGGCAGGAGGTGAGAATCCTCACTCGCTTGACATGTGGTGAAAACAGAGCTACTGGACCTCTCCACCCACACCCCCAGCAAGAACAACATCATTGGTCAGCCAGTGCTGAAATAGCCAGGAAGCCTTCCTGCAATAGCCAGGGTAGTGATGTTCTGCCTGGGACTGCTGTGTGCGTGGGGGTGGGGTGGGGGTGGTCAGATCCAGTAGCTCCATTTTTGCTGCACATCAAGTGGGTGAGGACTCTGCTGCCTTGACCCTAGTGCTGTCAGTAGCAAGGAAGCCTCTCAGGATTGGCCAATAAGTGAGATAGACCTTAATATGGGTTTTAAAAGTGCACACTGGTGTTATTTTAAAACTGCAGTAGGGCTTGAGTCACGTGCAGGACAGGAGCTTCTGTGAATTCCAGTCAGGGGTTGTTTTTTTGGGGGGGAGTGTATAAATTACAGCCCCAGTGCTCATGGAATGTTGAATGACTCTGTGAACGAGCAGTTATACCAGAATTTGCAAATAAATTTAATTTGGAGAACATTTAAAACCATTAAAGTTACTCTGACTAACTTGCTTCAAGCAGATATGCTGTGGAGGCACATTGGTTTATGGATCATAACCACAAAGCTTTAGCCTGTGCAAGTGAATTCTGCTCTGGTTGAGTATTCAATAAATGTTTTCTTGGTCCACTGTGAAATAACATTTTCACCAAAGCCCTGCTTAAAATCTATCATCAATGTTGGGACTAAACATACAGACCTGAATCTCTTTGGGATGATCCCAATTGCTAGTCCAGCTAAAACTATTGACTTAGTTGGATTTACATAGACTCGTTGACTCAATAGGATTTACCTAAGTGTTGGCTCACAATTCAGCAACTGATTCAACAGCATTATTCTAATTTGGATTAAGAATTGGATTTAGGCATTACAGGAAAAAATGAAATTGGGTTCCACCCCAGACTTGTATACCCCATTGTTCCTGCCTCCAGTGTTCCCACCTGAGCATCATACCAGCAGAAAGACAGCATTAATGTCATGGATTTCCATGTGATCTGAACCCTAATCATGCAGGGGTCCTGACCATATGGAAGCATTTACATGTACTGCCATATACATGTAGGATCCTCTATACAGACACAGATCATGAGCTAACACTGTGGAAGGAGCAGATGATGCACAAAAGGCACGTGGATAGCACTCAGATAATGTACATTCATAGAAAACCTTTTCCACAAAAGAGTGATAATGTCTTTCTATATGGATTATTTGCTTGTAACCATTAGATAAATTTAACAAGAGGAAAAATGGTGCTTATTTCTACTTCAAAATTATTTCCAAGGAGCACACCTTCTGATATGATTTGTCCATGCAGTTCGAAAGAAGGAACTAAATCATGCTTTGGTTTCTTTGCTCACACAATATTTTTCAAACCATTAAATTACAATAAAGGTAAAGGTAAAAGTTCCCCTTGACATTTAGTCCAGTCGTGTCCAACTCTAGGGGGTGGTGCTTATCACTGTTTCCAAGCCACAGAGCCAGCGTTTATCCGAAGACAGTTTCCATGGTCACATGGCCAGTGCTCTAACTAGACACGTTACCTTCGCACCGAGGTGGTCCCTATTTATCTACTCGCATTTACATGCTTTCGAACTGCTAGGTTGGCAGGAGCTGGGACAAGCGACGGGAGCTCACTCCATTGCGTGGATTTGATCTTAGGACTGCTGGTCTTCTGATCTTGCAGCACAGAGGTTTCTGCAGTTTAACCTGCAGCACCACCATGTCCCTTTAAATTACAATAGGAAGACTCAAATTCATGTCACGTTTAACAAACTGATGTGCTGAGAATATTGTGATCTAAATAATATGAGTAAATTGAAGGAAAGTAAGATGTGAGATGTGCTGCTGAATTCAGTGGAACTGAGTTCCAGATAAACATCTATGAGACTTCAGTCTAAAAGTGTGTCCGCACTGCATATTCATATCAGTCTGACACAGTGTTGTATATGTCATGGTTCCCTCTTGAGATATCCTGGGATAGTTGACATGCTTAGAATTCCTTGTTAGAGCACTAAGATTCAATAGAGTGTGCCAATGCTCTTTATCAGATAATTCTATTTACCTCAATGAATCATAGATATTAAGATTTTTGCAACAGAGCCATGACAGCTAAAGTGTTATCAAACAAATATAAATGTGTGGTACAGAAAAGTAATGCACCTGAAGTGTAATAAAATGACTTGTGCAGCATTAGCCATGATAAACATTGATACAGACAAGGATGTTGTGGCTGAAATTAATTTGATCCTTAAAGGGTCAAGCCTGGCTTTTACTTGTAATGGAGCTCTTGTCTGCATAAAAGTAATATTTTCACCCTTCTCTGCATTTCCCTACATTACCGAAGGATCTTACAATGTGTTTCTCCAGGCATGGGGTGTACACTTTCACTCTGTATGTATTTCCACTAGTGCATATTGTGGTCTGCAGTGTCATATCAATGGAAAGCTGGCCCTTTCAGTGAGTGAAAGACGATACCAATGAGCAATACGGAAACACACAGATATATTTATATTTAGAGCTGTATTTAGTCAGCTGTAAACTGAGCAATTAACTAAGCATACTCAGATGTCTTTTCCTAAGTGTCTCCTTGCCAAGTTTTCACAATGCACTTACCAAGGCATGGGTGTTGACAGTAATATAAAATAGTGAAAGAGCACTCTGAGACTAGGATTAAATTCTTTTCTTTATTATAAAGAAACTTGGAAAAAGAAAGCAAGAAGCAAACAAGTTTAGAAGGCAGAGACACAAACTTAACACAGCAAACTCATAGTTTTATACAAGATCAAAAGTCCCTATTTGCTAGATCCATAGCACCTAAACCATCAGAAATGTCTAGTGGACTATCTGTGATCTCTTTGTTTCATAAGTTTATATGGTGGACTGATTTGATACCTTAGCATTTAATGTTCTTAAGTGGGAGAATATATCAGGCCTTCTTGGTCCCTTTATGAAGTTTCAGAATGTAGTGATATATGTATGATGACTTTTCTACATGAAAGAAGGTTTATGTTTGATGCAACGTGTAACCTTGGCATACTTCAAGGGATAGGGATAGATGCAGTTACACACACACACACACACACACACACTCCTAGACACTGGCCGGCAGTCAAAAGACAACCTGTCTTCAGGCTGTCTGCATTCCAAGTGATATCATTTAGACATAATTGAGAAAATATTTTAAAATATCAACTTATCTAGGGGGAAAATACACCATAGGGAAATTGCCACTGAATAGCTGAAATCCTGTTGCACTGTTACACAAACAGTGTAGATTTTAGATCTGAAATGCTGTAAATTGAAAACTCTCCATAACATTACCTGTTGCACACTGAGTTGTGTAACTCAATCTGCAAGGGCTGAATTCTGTGGAGATCCCCGAACTTAGAGAAATGTGTTTCTGAAAGTTATATTGTTTGCGTAACTGCACAACAGGATTCTAACAATTCATTCAACAAGTTGCTATTCTGTTTTTCATGCATACTGTGGAGAGGACAATGGCATGGACGGCCTTATCAGTGAACTGTCACCCTCCCTTCCAGGGCCCAAAGAGTGGACTGATCTACCAACTGACACAGCAGAGGGCTTTAGTAACTATAGAGCCTGAGGTCTATAGAGGAATCCCAAGTAAAGGATGCCAGGGGTCAAACTGAGTACCTGCCCATGTTTCTGGCCCTGGAAACCCCAGTAGTAGGCAGGCAACCTCTAGTGGGGAAAAAGCCCTGGTGGATGTGGGATATAAAAGAAGCCTTGCCATGGGTGGGGTGGGAACAACCCACTGCCAGAGAAAATCTGGAAGGAGCAGGCTTGCCAAATGAAGGGGAGCCAATGACCCCTCTTCTAACCTCAACATGGCAGGAGGAAAAGCCTTGGAGGAAGAAATCAGAGGAGATGCTCCAAGAGAGTTTCTCAGGAGATTATTGGGCAGAGGACTCACCCTGAGAAAAGACCCTGAGCCATCCAAGGAGTGGGACTACATTTATAAAGAGGAGCCCTGCTGCAGGGCCCTTGTCCAGTTGAGGATCCCTAAGATAGAGGGCAAGAAATACAAGAACCCTCTGCTCTCCTACAACCCCCCTACTGATAGCAGGGCAACAGAAGAGGAAGGCTCAGAAGGAGCAGGAGTCTAGTCTGACTCCTGGGAAACTTACTGCCGCTCAGCTCTGATGCTGGTGGAAAAAGAGGCAACATGAACACCAGTGCCAGGAAGAGAAAAAATGAAATCGAAGACCAACATGGGGAAAAAAATGAAATCGAAGACCCACTGTCATGACTGCAGGCAAACATAGCCACTTCAGTGAATAGAACGGAGTTTGGAAGAGACATTCTGCATGTCAGTGAAGAGAACCGAGGGATTACAGACTGTATATAGTGATGTAAACCCAGTGAAAGGAACTGGGCAAAAGGAAATTACCATATTTTTCCGTGTATAAGACTAAATTTTGTCTAAAATCTTTAGATGAAAAATTGAGGGTTGTCTTCTACATGGAAGTAAACTGAGGAGAAAAAAAACAAATGGAGGGGAAAGCAGGTATCAAAGTGATCCTGCAGGGCTTTGATCCTTGCTTTTCCCTCCACTTGCTAAGCCTTAGGAAAAGGGAAGCAGGGATCAAAGTGCTGCAGGACTGCTTTGATCCCTGCTTTCCCCTGTGCTTACTAAGTCCCATGGGGCTTAGCAAAAGGAGGGAGGGAGGATCAAAGCAATCCTGTGGCTGTATAAGGGGGAAAGGGATCAAAATGATTGTGCAGTCATGGGATTGCTTTGATCCCTTTCCCCCTCCTTTTGCTAAGCCACATGGGGCTTAGCACAAAGGGAGAAAGCAGTGATCAAAGCCATCCTGCAGCACCTTGATCCCTTTTACCCTACATTTGTTAAACCCCACTTAGATTTCTTAATTTTGGATTAGAAAAGTGGAGGGCATCTTATACATGCTGGTGACTTATACACGGAAAAATACTGTAAATTATTGCATGTTAACCCCTCACCTGGTATAATAAACCCTATTTTGTTGCAATTCTTACATCTGGAGTTCATCGAACACAGGATGGAAAATAACCCATCCAAGCAACCCAGGGCTGGTGGGGTTCACACATGCACGCATTGAATAGCTATTCATTCTACTTAATGCAGCCCATTCATGTAATGTGCAATAGATTCAAGATCAACAGAAGTCAGATACCCCTGCCGAACAGTCTGTCTTTTTGTGACACAAACAATTTTTAATTGGTAGCTATACATGTTACAGATTGGGGTGGACAGCACATTAAATTTAGAAGAAGCTTTAGGATCTACCAGTTTTTTAAACTGAGATCTTAATGAGTGGAGCTTGGTGCAAAAAGCCATCCTATATGGAATTAAAGTATTTTGACTTAGGAATTTGTTTTGATTAACAAAACTGAGTGGAGTTGTTGGCCCTTCTACATAAAACCCTACTCCTGGTTACGTCAAACACCTTCCATTTCAGAAGTATAATTTAAGAATAGAGGACAGTCCTTTTGTTGTTGCCATTGTTCAACCATCAGAAGTAAGAAATGCTTTCCGTTCTACTGCATATCAACCTAAGGTCCATCCATAGATTATTCCTACCTATCATCCACCCCTGCCACAAATAGCTATTAGGCTGGGAGGCTGCTTCCTCTTTCTGTTTCCTCACTGAAGACAGCACCCAGTTCTTTCCAACACTCTCTTCAAGGCATCCTTCACTTCTTTGTTCCTCAGGGTGTAGATTAGAGGATTCAACATGGGAAATACCACAGTGTAGAAAACAGAAATGACTTTGTCTGTGTCAAAGGCATAGCTAGAACTAGGACGCAGATACGTGAAAAGAAGGGCTCCACAGAAAAGGGCAACAGCTGTCAAATGGGAGGAACAAGTCGAAAAAGCTTTGTGGCGGCCTTCTGCAGAGGGGATCCTCAGGACAGTGCCCAGGATACAGGCGTAAGAGATCAGGATGAACACAAAAGTGCTAGTTTGGATGGAACCACAGAGGGCAAAGAGGAGGGTCTCGTTGATGTGAGGGTCAGAGCAGGAGAGGGCTAACAGTGGCGGGATGGCACAGAAGAAATGATTGATGATGTTGGAATTGCAGAAGGAAAGGTGGAATGTAAAATAAGTGTGCACCAATGAGGTCAGACTGCCTATGAGATAGGTGCCAGCTACAAGACAGATGCACACCTTGCGAGACATGAGAATTGGGTAGAGCAGTGGATTACAAATGGCCATGTAGCGGTCATATGCCATGGCAGCCAAGAGGAGACATTCTGCATCTGCAGACAAAGCAAACAGATACATTTGTGCCATGCATCCCCTGAATGAAATCGTCATCTTCTGTGCTAACAAAATGTCCAATATCATAGGCGTAATGGCAGAGGCATAACTGAGGTCCAGGAGAGCCAGGTTATTGAGGAAAAAGTACATAGGGCTGTGCAGAGAGGAGCTTGTCCAGATTAACAGGCTGACAATTATGTTTCCCAGCAGCGTGAACACATAGATAGCCAGGAAGAGGACAAAGAGTAGTGCCTTGATCTCCTGACGATCTGTGAAGCCAAGAAGAACAAACTCTGTCACTGAAGTATAATTCCACTTGGTCATTTCTTCCAAATTTATTCTGATTGTCTCCATACCAAGAGTAGATGAATGAAGAAGAATCAGCTCTGGGGACAATGGCTGAAAAAGTGAAGCAAAGGAAAGCAAAAGATCTTGCCCCTGAAATGAAAAGAAAAAGACCATGCCCTATGTATACCCCATTAAAGAGGTTGGAAAAATAGGACCCTGAATCATGAGTCTGATTATTGTATATTAAACAGCCAGTGGCAGCAAAGGTGTAATATCTGAACTCTTTCTCAATCTTACATATGTTTTAATGCTCCCCCCCCCAAAATCCACCAAGGTGGCACTAATTGTGGTTCTCATGAAGGAAGACCAACATAAGGTACTATTCCAAAGTTAGTAGTTAGAAAATGATCGCAATGCACTATAATCTGATAACATTGTTAAAATCAATGAATTCATATTCTGAGATTGCAGAAGCTGACCGGGTAGAGAACATCTGAGTGTCTCAATGAGTCCAGGTTGTTTTGTTCTGACTGCCATAGCAATAATAGGAATGTCAATAGTATTATTAATCATCTTACAACTGCAGAGCTGGAAGGGATCCGATAGATCATCAAGACCAGCCCCTGTTAAGGAAGCACAGTGGGGAATCAAATTCCCAGTCTCTGGCTCTCTGCAACCAAATATTTTAAGCACTGAGCTATTGCTTTTGGAAAAGGTGGAAGGCTAAGGCTTAGGCAGAGTGTAGGCAACATATGATCATAGAAAGCACCTTTTCCTTTTCCTTGGTTCACAAGCTCCTCCTGGAGATAATAGTTCACACTTGAAGACCCAGTAGTGTGGTGGTTGGTTGACTGGGACTCTGGAGACCCACAAATAGTCCCTACAAAGCCATGAAACTCATAGGATGGGCTTGAACTGGTCACTCTCCCAGTCAGCCTGACCCACACAGAGGGTTGCTGTGGGATTGAAGTAGGCAGGAGGACAGTCATTTATGCCGCTTTGAGCTTGTTAGAGGAAATGTGGAATGTGTGTAATAACAAGGCAACTTGGTGGAAATAACCACTGGGCTGAAGTCTTTCATCTGTTACTACTGGTTGGTACCCTGCCTGGCTACATGACAACTGCAGCCAACAAATGTTACATATTCACACTTTGTAACACAAACTAAAATACTGTGGCATCTGACAAACTGATTTATTTTAGCATCCTCTTTCATGGATTATAATCCATTGTCTCAACATATTTGAGCCAATTGTAACTCTCAAAAGCTCACACTGAGATAAACTTGGCAGTCTTTAAGGTGTCACTGCTCTTTTGCTTATATTTCACACTGAATGGAGCAGGCTTAATACAGCTACCACTTCAAAAACTGCACAACCACATCTGTTAGGTTTATGGCTTATGAATCACTAAAACAAAGTAGTTTTAGGGACGGTCTTTGCTGATGATGACTTTGGACGGAATCCTGCTCATCAAAAGCAGCTGATATTAGGGCATTTGAAGTACATTTCCCATTCACCTCTGATTTCTCATGTGTACTGGAAAGGGTTTATACATGTCCTTCTCTTCTTAGCAAAAGCGGTTGAGGCAGGATATTGCCTAAAAATCTTTGCTGTTGCTTTTTTCTCCTCACTGGATCACCAGGTTGGAGCACATCCCTTGTCTTCAAATTATATCATTCCTGATTTTTTTGGATGCATCTGCATAAGGCCGCTGTCTGGAACCCAAGAGAACAGATGCCCGTGATGGTAAGGACAATCCTGAGCTAAACGGACCAATGGTCTTACTTGGTGTCCCTTGAAGACAGCTTGCTAGGCTCCTAGTACTCCATACTCCAGTGTTATCAGCAGATCATTGGTAACTCAACACTTCATATTGAAATCATAAGAAATTATCCTATAAATACAAACACTACAACCATGAACCTGTGGAATGGCTGAAAGCAATAGAAGCACAATGCTGGGACTCAGTTCTTCTGCTGTTTTTTCCTGTTGTGCCTAAAGCTGCAGGAGCATTACTGGCAATTGGTAAACATTTTTGCAAAAATAAGGCAGTCAATCCAGCTAGGATATATAGGTATGCATTTTCTATGGGCAATTTATATCTTGTCTTTTTTGGAGGGGGGAAGGTATGAAGCTGGCATGGGAACAGTGGGAGGGAGAAGGTTGTGTAGGTAGTTTGCCGCAGTCCCAGTTCACCATGCTAATTATAATGGGAGTGGAAGGAGGTTGGACTGACAGCACTTGAGATTTCCTATTATCTGAGATATTCTTGCAAGACCCAACAGCTCGACTGATGCCCAGGGCCCCTCTGCAAAATACAGCCCTTCATACAGGAAGGATAGCAAATTGACAAAACCCAAATAATTGATTTTAGCAATGTTTAAACTCTGAGAGCAGAGGCAAAGCAGCTGTTTTCTTCACCAGAGTGCATCAGAAAGGTAAGAAGGAAGCAGCCGTCTCACCCCGGTATTCTCTCTGGTAAACTGATTTTGCAGAAGGGTTGGTGTGTTCCCAAAACTTGCAAAACCCTTCTAATAAAAAATGACAGAGAGGCAAAATAAGTATGTTTGGGACCCACTATCACCTTGCTTCCGGCATGCCAAGACTCTTTCTCTGTCAGCAGCTGAGAGCTTCTTTGAGGAGTAAAGGAGATGAAACAGCTATCCTGTTATTAGATCCATAATAGAGCCTTTAGAGCTGGAGGGCTGTCTGTTTATTCTAAGACAAGCTTGCCTCAATCCACAAAGTAGCTTGCTTCTGTTTTGTAATTAATCACCAGGAGACAAACCTGCCTTTGTTTGTATGTCTGATTTTTCAGGCACTTGTTCTGAAAGACTTGTGTGCCTAGAGGGAAAACTTTGTAAGCTAAAGAAATGATGCACAATCTGACCTTCTATTTATTTCTAAAGGCATGTATGTGGCAGGTGAACTACGTTGTGTCACTTGTGACTGTCCTTTGTACATAATATGGAAGGGAAGGGACTTAATGCACACATGACTCTGTATGTCTAACACTGTATTTGCTTAACAAGTCAATTTAAAGGGGGAGAAGCAAATTTAAGCCCATAACTAGAAGGGGCCCTAATGATTAATTTGAAGACAAGACTCCAGTTTTACTAGAAACAGTATGTGTTGACCTAGAATTCAGACCTGTTTGTCCTGGATACATTCTTCCCCTCAAAGGTAAAAAAAGAGAGTACATTGTACATAGTCAGAACCCAGTATTGTTTATTTTCCAGATGTGCCCATTCTGTCATTAAAATATCTTACAGGCTTGAGCCCTGGCTGAAATTCAACCCCCAGTTTCACTGCATAGAAATGATTACATTCCTGTTTTTTCCCTTTCCCAAAGCTCAAAGCAATGTATATCCAAGGAATTCCTTCTCATGGAACCTTATGCTTTGTTGCTTTCAAAACCAGCAAGGGGTTGAAAAGTACAGCAATTTTCACCAAATTCTACCCACAAAGGATCATATTCAGATACATGTCCATTATAATGGATCTTTTTTTTTGTAGTGACTTACCTGAGAAGCATATGAGGACGTATTCACTGTCTCATTATGGGAAGTGATCCCTTTTGAAGGTTTTGCATTCATCGTGAGACCCAGATCCCTAGAGAAGCTCAAGGCAGATGGGTCTCAAAGGAGGGAAGGGGTGTGGCACATGCAGGGAATGCAAAGAAGTATTAGGACACTGCAGTGGTACAACATATGAATCATTCATTGTGAAATAATGAACTCCAGCTGGCTTATGGTTTGCAGCACATCGTTCCTTATAAAATTTAGCTGGCTGATTGCAGGTTGGAGGTTCATCTACATCTTCTTACAATCTTTCTGAAGTTGCAGTCGTTGGTGTCAATATATATAAATTCTCCTTTTTATGACACTGGCAGAAGGGTCCCTTACCAAGGCCTAGATCCATACAATATTCACAGCAGATTTCCAGCTCCATCTTCTGACAGTTCTACTCTCTAATAATAATGTAGTGGTAAATTAGGAAATACAGGTGCTCATCCTGACAGTTCTTATAGTCAGACCCTGCCCTTGAAAGAGTCCACAAATGCAGGCAGCTATATGAGTTCATATCAACAAATGCGAAGCTGGACTTTTGCAAAATTATTAGCTCTGAATTGCCTATTCAAAAACCACCCACAAATACTTATTATTATTTCATATTACAAGAGGGGTGGCTTACCATCCCCATGTTTTCTTGGAAAATCCATTTCCCTTCCAGCTAAGCTCAGAGGAAACAGGAAAGTTTGAGGTGGAACGGGATGTGACATCCTAGTCCCTGTTGCTAAGAAAACCTTAAGGTTTCAACTTTCTGCGCTCTCACCCGGTTATGCTCCTGGTCTCCAGGCAAGGCAACTTGGGGGTGAAAAGCAATGTGAAAAGGGAGTGTTGATTAACGATTTCTGGCCCTTATTCTCACTCTGCAAATTCATTGTGCCAGGCAGAGAAATTTTCCCTTGGACATTTATACTTCCAAACTCAAATAAACGATGAGCCAGGTTTATAAGTTCTTCTTTGATTTGAAATGCTTTTGAGGGAGGGGGCTTTTAGCTCTGCTTTTCCCACATCTGTCCAGAGGACATCACAGCTGAAACAGTCTGTCAAGGTTCTTTGCTCTTCAGAAGAATCCTCCCTCCTCCCAAAATGAGTAAATTAGAACTAGTGATGAGTAAACCGAAAACAATTGCAATCTGTTCTGAGATTCCAGAACATGTCAAGGAACCAGAGAGATAGTTTAACAATGCCCTGACCATTCCAGAAAACACTGCAGTTTTGCACCTCCAGTGCAATGGAGCAGAGTTTCTTGACTCTTTCTCTGAGGGGGCAGCTCTTTTGATTTAAAAAGAAAACTTGTGTGTCCTTGCATGCAAAGACTTGAGACTATGGTGACTTCCCCTCTACCATCAGCATCATTACAGAACTTAATGACTAATAGCAGCCTCTCTCAATTCGCTATTCCAAGTTTACACAAGAATTTGTATACTCGGAAAGCAATTTTACATGCAAAATGTCCCAGTTTCCCCTCTCCAAAATGTATTGCAAGCCTCACAAATACATGGTTTTACATGGCAAGATGTGTTCTTGGGAGGTGCAAAATGGCTACTTCTACTCAAGACTGTGAATCTAATG